GTGTAACGTACTTAATGTCAGCAGAATTACCATTTATTTAAATAGGTTAATTTAAATTGTAAGCAACATTGTAATTGAAATGTAAGTTTTTATATTGTGAGTTGCATACTGAAATATTTTTATCTTTAGAAAAAATATTTTTAAAATTTTTCTTTTAAGAAACTGTCGAATTTGGTGGGGTATACAAAATTGATTTGCTATGGTGTATACATTACAAGGATTTATTATACCTTTATAATACTGTTGACTACAGTATATTATAATGTATTTTTTTTTTTTTTTTAATTTTTTTTAACAGACTTTAAAATAGGTTTGTGTTGCTTTTCCAGAAAATGAGTCACTGTCATAGCAATAATGAAGTTAGGACAGATTGTGGTATTTCATATGGTTTTACAGGTCTGGAAACATCCTACAAAGATAATGGAATTGTCTGAGATTAACAGAAATTTAAATGTTGATTTGCTCCAGTGGCTAAGACTATAATTGATTAAGGATGTTTTAGAAAATATTTGCATATACTTCCACTAGCTTTACGCAAGACTACTTTTTTTTCATGGAGGTCATCTAGCTCAACCTGTTTGAAGCATAACAGACAGAGAATGGATCTAGGAAAGGTTAAATCCTTTCACTATGTGCATTGAGCATTTAAAAAGAACTGCATAGGCCCCCATAGTAACTTTGCTTTTTGATTTTCATTATTCCATATTTCAGAATGTTACAGTGAGCTCCATTGAAACAGAATACAGCTATTTGGCTTTTATTTCTGTATATCCCACTGTCATTTTCAGTTCAGTCAAACCTCACTCATGTTGGAATATAGTTCATCTATCTATGGTTTACAGAATTCAAACAATTTTCAGAATATCTTCTACAACTGATCAGACAAATCAATCTTGACTGAAAATGTTTTGCTCTCTGTAAACTAATTGTGAACTTGTTTTGTTCTGTCTTCATTTAGCAGGCTGCTATTGAAAGCCTCAGTTGTTTCATAGAGATTTTTATAGAATAGTTCTGCACTGAGTATTTCCTATATACTGGTAAGCAACTGGCTAAAGCAGACGTACATGGTTTTGATAGACCTGATTCAGATCTCAGCACAGTATAAATCTAGGGACAATTCGATTAAACGTGATGACACATCATTTGTGTAGAGCTGACAAAATAACAATTACTACAAGCTATAATGTGCCACGTTAATCTTAGGCATTCTTACTACCATTTTGTTTAGTTTTCTCAGAAACAGTGTATTCAAATAAAATTATCTTGGCTCTAAAGCATAAATTATTGCAATGCTACTATTGTAAATTATGCTCAATCTGTAATTGGATGATTAATCTGGTTATTCTGGATTTCTTAATATTTTTTCTCCTAAGTGACTGTTTTGCAATAGAACAATAAATATCAGATGTCTTAAGAGCAGGCCTTGAATGAGATGTGTCAGCAAAGCCCAGCTGCAACCAATGCTTTAATATCAGCACATCTTGACATTGTAGTTAGGAATCTTTTTGTTGCATATAGTACTGCATTCCCTTTTTGTATGAAAACATAACATGTCTAAAATCTGATATTTGCATTTTCTTTTAAAATATGAGGTTGAGGGAGCTAATTGGAACAAAAATCCATTTGATTCTTTGCCTGAATTATGTGAACTATGTAAATTAAGTAAACTATTGGATTTTGTATTTGATATTTCTAGGTGAGTATACCTATTTAAATCTTTCTGGAAAGGCCTGTAATGAAAGTAGAAGCATATTTTTAGTCCATCTAGTTTAAGTTTTACTTAGTTATTAATTATATCACTCAATTTTACAGATATAGTACCTCACCAATCTGATAATATTTACATTATGCCACTTAATTATAATTGATTATGGAAAACATTTTTTCTGAAGATTCCTTTTTTGTTGTTACAGACCAAAAGTCGTTTGCAATCTACAGTGATGAATGCATGTATCAGGAAGGTATTTTTTCCTTTTATAGCTATACAATATCAGAATTACAGAAGCCTGGAACTGATGAAGGAAAAAAAAAAAAAAAAGGTTAAATTTTGGTCAACATTTGGAAACTGGGGATAGAATCTAGTGATACATTGTGGTCTACTGCCCAGGAAGACTCAGATAAGTGCAGAGCATACTAGGTTACCAAAGTCTCAGCTTTTCTGCAAACTGTTGAAAGCTATATATCTTCAACTTTGAAATTTATCAAACAAATATGCTTAGGATATTTCCTTCTTGGTATGCTTTATAGGCTGCAAAGGCAGATTTCTGCACCTGAGGTGGACTGACCACTGCAGTAGGATAAGCTGGGAATGTGACTGGATGGCAACAGCTCTAGCTGAAAGCTGAAACCTGGAGGACCTGGTGGATGGTCAGCTGAGCAGTAATCAGTAGTGCACTCGGACATTATCCTGGGCTGCTGTATCAATAGAAGCATGGCTGCTAGATTTAGGGAAGTGATTATTTCCCTATACAGTTCTTATTAAATCAAATTGGTATTGCTGAGTCCAGTTTTGCCTTCACCCTCTCCCCTCCTCACCCACACAGCATAAGACAAGAATCAACAAACCGGAGCAAGGTCAGGCCAGGGAAACCAAGCTGGTCAGGGCTGAAGCACTTGCTGTGTGAAGTGCATCTGAGGAGCCAGAACTTGCTTGCCCTGCATATGTGTGTGAGTGTGCATGTGAGAATGTAATTTAACAGCTGCCTGCCCGTTTCAAGGTCATGATGGGAGTGCATGGTGGGAGGATGAAGGGCATAAACTGAAACAGGGAAGATTCAGAGTGGATGTAAGTAGAAAACTTTTTCCCATGAGAACAAACACTGGAGCAGAGGTGCCATTTCCTTCAGTGGAGACTTTCAAGACAGCTTGACAAGGCTCACAGTAATCTTGTCTGAATTCAGAAGCTGCCTGGCCTTGGACCAGAAGGACAGAAGACAGACCTAAGAGATTCCTTCCAACCTAAATTGTTCTCTTTGTGTGTTGTTTGAAAACAGTAGTCACATACAAACTACTACAATAGTTACCGGTAGATTGTTGCATTAACATATTTTTCCTTCTGCCTTACTTCTCACTCAATTAGATAAACATAGTACCAGGGGATTGTTGATTCTTTAGCTACTGACTTTCTAAAGCCACAAAATTAACTATGTAGAATGACATTTTCATTACTCTATTTTGTCATCTTTGTTCTGATATTGCAGATACTGATATATTCATGATAAATCTTTAGAGAATCTTAACAATTCTCCCCTTTTACAGGCAGTGGTTCAGAAGCAGCAAAGTCAGGCTTTTTTCTTGGTTTGGTTTATTTTTTTTACAAGTGTAACTGACTTTGTTGTGATTTAGAACCACCAAAATCAATGGAATTATCTTATGCTCTTTTTCTGAGACACCTGAAGTGTATGGAACCATGGTGATGAATTGAAAGATACCTACAGAGAAAACTCTACAAACAGGATTTTTTTTTTAAGATTTCTGTACATGTTAAAAATTTTGTGACCTCCTAAAGGGATCCCAAAAGCACTGGAAACTTCATGTAATGCTTTTGAATTTTTTCTTGACTTTTCTACTTCAGACATGGTTGATTGCTCGAATTGAATATGGAATGTTTTACCTTGATATTTCATCTTTTATCTTCACAGTATTACAGAGCACTTCATAAGGCTGTAAATTAAATATAGATAGTACAATGAAAGTGTAAGTAAATGTATCAGCAGCTGTGCACTCAGCCATGGTTTATGCTCTGCTATGCATTTTGGAATTTCTGTTGTTAAATGGAATGCTAGCAGGGATTCCTAAATCATGCTTTAACCTTTGAGAAGCTGTCTTCATACTACCACCTCAACAGATCATATTTTAAAGACAGGCAGAAGCTGTCTTATTCCAAATCTACCCTTATAATGTAAATTATTGCACTGTAAAACTCTCTAAGTCTTAGTGAATGAGATGCATATCCAGCTGTCCATCAGACTGGATGGAAATTTTAAAAAAACATTCTCCCTGTTAACACAAGCAGGAAAATTAGAAGTTTCTATTGTTTTCAGTGAAACCATTCTGCCCTCAAAGTGAAAAAAAAAAAAAAAAATCCTCTCTTTTTTTTTAATCAGCTGACTCACTCTGTGGAGGTCTTTTTTTCTTCATAGAGAGTGAAAGCAGAAAAACTAGCTTCTAACTTAATGCTTTAATTTAATTGGGATAAATCTGGTCTAGAGATAATGATTGACTAGACTGCTGCTTTAACCTGACCTACTTCCATTATATTCTAAGCTCAAGAGAAACATTGCTTTTATTAATTAATCCTCAGGGATAGCAGTGGGCATTCAGTTTTGATTTATGACACAATTTAGAGCAGCTTCTGGAAGCTCTAAAGACTGCTAATGAAAATTTTTGTTTATAGGCACTGTGACCTAGTCATATCCTCTCTTGCACCTCATATGGTTGTGGTGCTGTTGCACCCATTACAGACTAGAGAAGATGTCTGTAGTGAACAGCCTGGATGGCTTTTCTGGTCTCTCTTATCATCCACTTCATTGCTACTGCTGAGGTCACCCTGTCACATAATCCTGAGAACCTAGCAGATCCCTCCTTCCTCACTTCCTGGACCTCCTATGGCTGTCTCTAGGACCCAGGCTCAGTCCCTGGTCTCTCCAATAGCAAGACTGAGCACAAATTCCCAACAGGGAGTTTGAGCTACATACAATATACAATATTCATACATACACGGATGCCACACAAATAAGATACAAAGACCACTCACAGCAATGGTGAAAGTATCAGTTGTCTCCTCATGCTCCCCTTTCTGACTGGTCAGAATGGATTACTGCTATTAAAAGTAAGTATGTACATGCATATATGCAGAAATGGGATCTCTCCAGCAGCAGGGCTCAGGCAGACAGTCTATTACTGACCCCTGGACCCCAGTCTCTCCAGTTGCTGGCACCTAGACATACAAACCCTTGTTGGCACAGCCCCACTGAAGTTCCTGGTACAGAAAGACCCACCCGACCCCTCCCTCACACACGCACACAAAGGTCAGGACTCCCCTAGTCCCACTATCCGATTGCCTGTGCCTCTGCCCGTGGTGTACACAGGTGTTCCCACAGCTCGGAGCCATCGTTTCAAGACCCATCTATCCCCTTGTCTCCCAGACCACTCTACTTGCCTGTCAGCTCACCTGGCTTTGCTAACCCCGACACATGCACTTACACGCCCACACTTACTCCACTTACTGACACCCACAGACCTCACAGACACGCGGCCGTGAGGAGAGGGAGCAGGGGCAGTGGCTGCGGCGGGTGCTCTGCCTTAGCGGCAAACTGCACCCATTCAAGACGTACAGGGAAGCCAGGGCAGCCCGCGGGAGAGCAGAGCGACCCAGGAGGGTTCAGAGCTCCTTCCAGAGAGTGTGACATGCAGGGGCAGCGCTGGGACAGCCACGTGGCCTTGGGACATGGTGCACATGGAGGCTCCTCAGGGCGCGAGGAGCACAAACAGGGAGGGAGGAGGCGTTTGGAGGGCTCACCAGGCGGGGCAGTGGGAGTTGGTCTGTGCTCCTTCCAAAGCCCCGGGTAACAACCAGGGTGGTACCCAGGCTGGTCTGGCTCAAGGGCAGGCAGCTCTCCAGGTGATGGGCTGCGTGGAGCGTCTGAGTCTGTCACTCTTACAGGGTGACAGTAAAGACAACATCTGTGTGCGCTGCAACCAGGTAAATGATTTATTCAGCCTGGTTGCTGAGCTTGAGCAGGAAGTATAGAGGTTAAGCACCATATGAGAATGTGAAAGGGAAATAGACTGGTGGAGCTGCACCCTGCCATCCTTAGGGAAAAGGCAGCAGGTGGTAGCATTACAAGAGGTAGAAGATCCCCAGCCCTCTGGTTACCAGGAGGAAGGACTAGAACCAGGAGAGGACAGGGGGAATGGAAGCAGGTCTCTGCTAGGAGTAGCAGAAGAGTTCTCACCAGACCCTCCCCACATTTCCAGGTGCCTCTACAGAACAGATACAGTGCTCTGAAGATATGATGCTGAAGAAGCCCCATCCAGGGAGCTGCTGAAGCAGACAGCTCGATTCAATAGGACTGCTGTTAAGAAGTTGCCAAAACAACCAGCTCCTCAGATAAGACTGCTTCTGAGAAGAGCAAGAGGAGGGTGATAGTGATAGGTGATACCATTCTGAGGGGAGCTATCCTGAGGAGAAGAACTTGAGGGTGGTAGCTGATGAGAAGTTCAACGTGAGCCGCCAGTGTGCGCTGGAGCCCAGAGAGCAACTGCATCCTGGGCTGCATCAAAAGAAGTGGGGCCAGCAGGGCCAGAGAGGTGATTCTGCCCCTCTGCGCTGGTGAGACCCCACCTGGAATACTGTGTACAGCTCTGTTACCCTCAGCACAAGAAAGATACAGACCTGTTGGAGAGGGTCCAGAGAAGGGCCACCAAGATGATCAAAGGCCTGGAGCACCTCTGCTATGAAGACAGGCTGAGAGAGTTGGGGCTGTTCAGCCTAGAGAAGAGGAGGCTCCAAGGAGACCTTACAGAGGCCTTCTAGTACTTGAAGGGGCCTACAGGAAAGCTGGGGAGGGGCTTTTCATCAGAGAAGATGGTGATAGGACAAGGAGAAATGGTTTTAAACTGAGAGAGGGGAGATTTAGGTTAGATATTAGGAAGAACTTCACTATAAGGGTGGTGAAGAACTAGAATGGGTTCCCCAGGGAGGTTATTGATGCCCTGTCCCTGGAGGTTTTTAAGGCCAGGTTGGACGAGGTTTTGTGCAACCTGGTCTAGTGGTAGGGTTCTCTGCTCATGGCAGGGGGGTTGGAACTTGATGATGTTTGAGGTCCCTTCCAACCTTAATGATTCTATGATTCTACATGAAGCAGAGTTCCCCTCACTGAAAAATAGTTGAAGGTGGAGTTAAATAAGGAAATAGTATAGACTGTGGTGATCAGGTGCAGGGCATATCTAGACAAGCATACTAACTAGAAAACCTTTCACACACAACTGCACTTTTTATTCCTTACCTTCTGTTTTGCTGTGCTTATACCTCCTCAAATCACCTAAGTTCATTCTTTTCCCCACTTTGTATCCTCCCATAAATTATGTGTAATCCCAAAATACTCTTCTCCTGCATCCCATAGGGTTGATAAGTCCAGACAAGGTGTTTTTTCCTCTAGAATCTACAATTTGTGTTTACACCTGCTTTTGTTCCTCTGTGTTTTTCCAGGTTTGTAGTGAGGGGACTTCAATGAGCTGCTCTCATGTCCTGTGATGTGCCTGGGAGTGGCTGAGGCAGGTTATGAATCAATTTACTCCTCCTGCTCTGTTGGTCTTCTGTGCAGATGGGTTTCCTGTCACTGAACCTGAACTAACCTCACAATGCAGTACTTGCCAGATAGGAATTCCAAATATTGTGTTCCATTGACAAGTATGTGTTATGAAGCAGTAAGACACTTAACTGTATTCATTTTGCTGACTCTGAAAATCAGAAGTTTTCAAAAATTGATTAACTAGTTTTGTGGGAAATAGAAAATATTGATTTTTAAATAAGTGGGATTTTGCTGATTTCCCTTGAGAGTGTTCATGTCTTCCATCAATACGTATTTCCACTACAATAGTCTGAACACTATCAGTACTTGTTGCTAAAAGTATTATTAAGAAAGCAATATTTTTGAGCAAAATATACTTGCATTTAAAAATATGTTGTCAGTGTCATTGAAAGCATGCAAGGAAATGCTGTTCCCTGGAGATGAATAAAAGGAAAAAAAATGTATAGACAAAACCTGAATTTTTCACTCTTAAAGTCCTGTGTCATGCATAGTTTATAGATGCACTTGAATGACTTCAGAGGTCAGATGGTGTCACATGTCACCCACAGAAGAATAACTAGCTGACTGTACTTCATGTTATTTTATTTTATCTCTGTATTATCGAATAATGAGAGTTTTCCATTTACCTTTACATTAAAAAAAAATATTCTTTGAATATTTTTTGAATGTGCAAGATAGTTGAACAATACATCACCTATACATTTTATTTAAAAGCAGTATTTCTCTCAAATAAGTATGCCATTTTCATCTTTTGACTTTCTTCAGGCTTCCTAGATTTATTCAAAATCTATACTACATCAAAGTCATTCCTACCTGTTTTCTAACTAGCTTTCACTAGCCAAAAAAATCAAGATGCAGACCACAGTTGAACATCCAAAGGGTGGCAATGGAAATAACTGGTAGCCTTTGTTCTAGCCCTCTTTGTCTGAAGGACAATTATATGATAATTCATGCTGATTTTTATGTGGTATTTATTTTCCACTGCACATATAAGCATTCAAGGGAGCAGAAAGCTTTATTTTTAAATCATACAGAAACAAGATGTGAATTAAGTCTTGTCTAAAACTCAGATGTATGTTATGCAGATTAATAACCCATATCTACAATATGTGTGGTTTAGCTCATAACTATGTAAATTTTAGCTAACATATGGATCTGCTATGTGCTAAATTTACTACACATAGTCGTCTCCATTTACTGGTCAGGGTAAAACAGAACAGAGAAGAGAATTGCCCTGTTACACTCCTCTACCTTCCCAGGGGAAGATAAACAAGGAATAAGGAAGACAGATACCAAGGTTGGAAGTTAAAACTAGAACAAGTTTAACAGAACAGGGAAGCGATAGTATTAACACATGGCATAATAATGAAAAATATAAAAATATATACAAAATCCTATTTCAGTAGTTGCTGATGTGTCAAAAAGTCCCCTGTGGCAGAGCTGACTCAGGGAAAGGGGCCAGGGTTCTTCCCAGCAACTGATGAAGTCAGATCCTGCAGAGCACTTGGGAGCCACAGACAAAGAGCACAAGCCTCTCTCCAAGATGACTGCCAGGTGAACAAAGGGAGATTAGAAGGAGCACACTTTTCTACCCCTCTGGCTTTTACAGGGTATGGTAGGAAATGGGAGAGAGTATTGAATGCTCTCTGTTCTGCCCCATGGATACCTCAAAGTCCTAAACAACATGCCTTCACTAGGTCCTCATATGAATACCATAAAATTAGCCTGTGCCCACTCAAACCGTAACAACGGTCGAGTTAAGAGACTGATTTTTCAATTGAGTACTCACCACAGTAATTATTAACAGCACATGAAGTCACTGGAAAACATCTCATGAGGGAGTTTACGAAGACTCAAGGATGCATGCTGCCTTATTTATTTTTACTCTTACAAGATATTACATTAAGTTATGTTTTCTATACACAGTTGTTTTGTATGTTTATGAGACACCCAACTGTATCTTACCCATAAAGTTTCATGTGAAAGTTTAAACAACCTATAATACTAATACTATATTGAATACAAGATTAACTAAGGAACATCTGCTTTTATTTCTTTTCCCTGCAGTCCTCATTGGTTAATCTTTATTTTAGCCACAAAAGTAAATTATTAATTTCCTCAGTAACTTTAAGGCCATCCAGGTAACTCTATCAAAACTCTCAGTGCCTATCTGACAACTTAAGTAAGTAGATTAAGACCAGCTTTCGACCCACTATTTTGCCACTGTCATAGGGTGGACTCAGGAGGGAACTTGGTAACTGAATCCACACAGGCAAAGAATGAGAGAAAAAAATTTCCAAGGAATACCAAAAGAAGACTGCAGGTGAATAAACCTTCCACATTCCTCCATGTGATTTAGATCCATGTGGCTACCGTGATGGTAGCTGTTCAGCTCGGAAAAATGATAAATAAAATACTTTCAAGTGAAAGCATACCTAGCAGAGTAAAATTGCGTTTAATAAGACTTTTTAAAAAGCAGAATGTTTTTATAACTCTGTAGCTAAGAGAGTCATGGATTTTTTGGTGTAGAGCATTTTGCTGTACAGAGTGTCCTGGTTTGAGCCAGGATGAAGCCAGTTTTCCTTTTAATGATTTATTTTTTTTCCTTCAGTAAGCTTTCTTTTAACTAGCAACTGTGTGTTCTAGCTAGGGCTGATAAGACACTGGAATGTTTTTGTAACTGCTGGGTCTTCAAGGTCGCAACTTCGCTCTGCCGGCTCAGACACTATGGGGAGATCTGTGACCCCCCCCCGTAGGAGGCTGAGTTAGACAGCAAAATGGGCCAGAGATATTCCATTCCATGTATCTACGGAAGCTCAGAGGAAGGTCAGAGATCACAGAAGACAACTTCCTTCCTTCTTCTTTCCTTCTCTTCTGTCCATGGCCGGCGTCCAAGGAGGACTCCGTCCATCCATCACCGTTGACCCTTAGGCCTGAGCTTTCCTGACCCTCTTCACTCTGTGCTTTCTCCAGCAGCATCTCCAGGATTCCTCGGGACTGTCTTAATCCCAGGGGAGTGCTGTGGGAGTTGCTGGGGGTGGGGAGAGGCAAGAGGCTTTTGACCATACCTGGACATATTTGCATATAATTGTATTTATTTTCTTTTATCATTACTGTTTAATTAGAGCTGTGTAGTTTAGTTTTCAATCCAGCGAAGTCTCTCTCTCCTTCCCTACCTTGGTGGGAAGGGGGAGGGGATTGAGAGCTTTGTTGTCGGACCTGAGTCAAACGGTGACACAGAGCATATCTCTGCTTACATCTAATAGTTGCAGTTTGTGCAGACAGCTGTGTGCAAACCACTCCCATTGGATCCCATTCATTCTTCTTTCGCTGCCAGGAAGAGCTACAGCTGTGGTTTTACCTCTGGTTTGGTCTGTACAAGACCCAT